TAATAACTTGGTTAATAATACAGAGTAACGGGAAGGAGCTCTCATTTTATGGGTTAAATTCCTCCCTTGAAACTCGCTACTCTGGAGAGGTCACCAATTTCGATTGGTGTATATGCACGTGACCAAGAACTATGTCGTGCTAAATAAAAGATATTGATTTATAAATATGCCTGTAAATAATAGAGCCAAAAAACCTTGTTAGCACTTACACTGCATTCTTCTTAGGACATTCCCTTCACTGCTGACAAACACGGCGATGTATTTTCTGTCATCGGCATTATTCTTGGCATCATCTTGAAGGATGTTGAGGATTTCCAGATTTGTGTGAACTAATTGGCTAATATTATCGTAAACGATAACCGGTGGTTTATTATGCTTTGCTTTGTACACTGCTGAGGCATGTTTAAAAGCGTCCATAGCTCTCTCCCATTCAGGAATCTTAAGTTTATCTAGCAAAAAGAAAAATAAGAATCAAAATAAACAACAAAGCAGTAATGAAAACTTACCATTAGTATTAGTTTCACCTAATATTTTTCGCATCAGCTGTCCCGTAAAAGAAATACTTTCCTCAAATGTAAAATTAATGGCTTTTCCGAAAGCTTCACCTAATTTATTGATATTCGCAGGAACATCAATGTATATGACTCTGTGCCCAACTTCATTCGACGCAATCCTTGTCAGCGTCATTTTCCCAGTTCTACATTCACTGCAAACCATGTATTAAAATGGTTGATCTCCATGGGGTTGAAAAATTCTTTTAAGACGTTCTACAATTTCAGGTCGAGGAACAAACTTGTCACTTGAAATTGCCACTCTAGGTCGAATACCGTTTTCCACTGTTTCGTTAAGAAGACACTCATTACATCTATTTTGGTACCAAGCGTACATAAGGTCTACTGATATAAGACCAACAAGACCAGTAGGTAACGGTAGCGGCTTCGGCTCGCAAGTACTTGTTCTTGGACTCGGCGTAAGTTACTGAAGCCTAGGTTAGCCAGATTGTGAGTACGGAAAGCTCTAGCAGCAGTTACAATTATATTCGCCGATATAGCAGTCTACAAATAACGAAAAGGTGTTGAAAACATGATCAAAAAATGCATAACAAACAACAATAAATCTCATACTTGAAGCCGTTTTGCAATGTATTTTGTGAATTTGTTCAGGTAGGACGATGTAGACTCTTCGGGAGACATGTGGGGGGAAGGTGAAAAGTTTGCGTAAGGTCTTGAAAGTGATGATTGAAATAAGTCAGGTCTCAAGTTCCTTAACATAAAACTCGGCGACTGAAAGAATCGTACTCGACAGGTAAGGAAGTGAGTTGGGAAAATGCTCTTATAAAAGATCTGAGTGATTTTGGAGAAAGATATTACAAATTATCGGTTCCAAAAATCTTTGTCAATGGGTGGTGCTCATTTCACCGACAATCACTTCATTTGATAAATCAGGTTATCGCTATGCAATAATTACCGAATTATTATAACTGAGAAATTTTTTTGCAAAATAACAATTTAGTACCGTTTGTTAATTGGGACAGCCCAAATAAAACTTGGCCAGATCTACCCTAATGTCTGGGCTAACTAAATTTATAATTTGACCTAATTTTGCGAATGTTATTCGATTGCAGGATTCGGAAATATTTACAGTCACATCTGGGTTATATTCCACTGGGTTATATCCCAACCTGAGTTACATCCTCATATTTAAGCAGAATAAATTTTCATTTTTTTGTTTTTATATATTTTTATATACCCTATAAAAAAGTTAATCCGTGTTTTATATTTGTGGAATTTATACCTTCAAATAACTGAAATTTCAGTTTACTACATCAAGTTGCAAAATCACGGAGTTCTTACAGAAATTAAAAGATAAAATAGAAATATTCAAATAAAATTTTTTACAGTGATAATGAGTTATAAATTACTTCAAACACAAACATATTCTGTATTTGTTTTTGAATAAGATGGGTGATACAAAGCACCACCTATTGCACTAGTCATTTATATATACTAATCAATTTTTTTTATATTTTATGATAAGATGAAGCTAAAGTTAGCATACTGGACATGTCAATTGTAATGACTGTTTTTGGATGATTTTTGGTTGTGCTAGCTTTCACTGAGGTTTCATTCTTAATAACAATTCTGCATATGTAATAATACACTGCTTTTTTTAGATTTGAGAAGAAAAAGATTGTTTGAAAAAATATTAGGTTAATTTCAAATCATGTATATATATTTTCAGAATTTTGTAAATTATTTTTTAATAAAAATAATACACAAAGTATTTAAAGTATTAAGTTTATTCAATAAGTTCTAGCTTTCAAAGATTATTAAAATGACTAGATATAGATCTTTATAATACTAAGCATATCTTAGAACAATCTAATTTTTTTTACAAAATTCTTTTTTGATCTGAGCACATATTAACTGCTTTTCAAAGTTTTTTTTTTCATTTTTATGAAAATGTTTTACATGTTGCTTATATTGTTTGTCTTGTACTTCTATAGCAAATCTATATTGTAGATAGTAGATATTAAGCTCTAGTCTATAAAGATACTTCAGTGTTTTCAAAAAATCTAGTTTGCAAATATCAGCAGATAGGCTAAGAATATTAGTTATGATTTATAGTTTTATACTTATTTAAATAATATAACTAATAATAACCTTTACTATATATCTATTGTATCAGAATATAGAAATTTATATATTCTGTAAAAAGATATATATTTTCTCTATTATAAGTGATTTTCTGAGCTTGTATTAGGCTACAAAAAAAATTATCAGCATGTTGTAAGTATCATCTTTTCATATTTTTTATTCAATAAAGAATTGTAAACCATTAATAATCTTTGGTATATCTTCAAAATATTAGAGTAGTTGTATTAATATATTCTTTAAAAAAGCATTTATTATCTTATTTTTGTATAATATTTTTTACTATATCAATATTGTATCGTGGTTGACCATATTTTTAGCATTTTTGCTTTAAAGTAATATGATTTTGAACTGAAATATATTTATAGCTAGGTGTAATATATTTTTGGCCTGATATACTATATTTTAAACATCAAGTTCTTCTAAGAATATTTTTTGCTGAAGCCTTTTATTTATAGCCTTCTTTATACTACTATTTGAAAAGATTCTGTCTATTAATATACTTAATTATCTCTTTTTGTAAATTTTCTTATATCTTTAATTATTCAAGAATGATAATTTCCAATAGCATATTTTAGATATTATATATTATGATTTTTTATACTATAAAGCTTGGCAGACTATTCATAGTTTTTAATTTTTTTTGTTTTTTTT